CTTTGACTCGAGCAAATGTAATAATGAAACACATATTTCTTGTTGTTCGATTTCATTCATTGGAACCAGTTTAAGAAATTCTTGAGCTAATTTAGTTTTTTCATTCTTAACCAAAGATAAATTTACAGATAAAAGCCATTCAGCACCTAAATTAAAATGTATGTATTTAGCAGAGATTGATAAAATTAAATCTTAAAACTCACTTCTATGGATACTTTCAACTTCATCACACACTCTTTTTAAGACATCTTCTACATCATCTTTCCATACTTCAACTTCGTCCTCAGAATCATTTCGACGATTCTAAATAATAAAAATACGTACAGTTATTGTTGGTATCAATGGTGGAACCATGGCTTTTTTTAGAAAGGGGCCCTTTTCCTAGGTAGAAAGCTAGTCATTTATTTTATAGGTATCCACTATATATAGCTCTATTTGCAAAGATGATGTCTCAAATAAAATAGCACAAATATATATTGGTCATCATAACATAAAAAAACTTTTAGTGTTTACTGTTTATTAAATCAAATTTTGCATTTTTGTCTAAAACAATAACGATTGTAGAAAAGCAAGGACTATCACTTTCTTTCTGTTTAACCGACACTAGAGGAAGCTCTGTTTGAACAATACTATTCCTCTGTTGCCTTGTTTATTGATGCCTACAATTTAAGGTCTATCACTTGCCAAATTTATTTCATTATTGGAAGACACAAGGTTAAGACTAACCCAAATATATAGAAAACCCAGAAAGTCAATAATAACAAAAATAGAAACAGTGTTGGAAAACAAGGTATCAAATGTTGATAAAAATGTCCAAAATTGTATCAGGAGACAAAGAAAGTTTTGACAGATTCCCTGAAAATATGAACATCAACGATTTAATATATTTTAAGTATGCACTGATCACTTTCGTGGATATCAAACATTCTTTCACTACGTTGACTGTAATCTCAGTTCATTCAAATTTGAAAACATATAAAAATGTCTTACCATACAATGCAAAAATGTTGACAGTAAAATTATAATAAAAAAAATTAAAAATTAAATATATTTTTCCTATGTTACATATGGACATGATGACAATAGAGATGAGTAACCCGTGTATTTATTAATTATTTTTATTATACACCTATTTATTTTATATATTCATATTTCTATAATATTATGTTTCTTTCAAAAAATAAAACAAAAAAATAGCTGCACATTTTAAAGTATATTCCAGTTATTTTTAGTGCAACAAGTCTCAAACCTAACTTATGAGTTTGTTATGTTGATGATGTGGGTATACAATTCTTTAAAATGTTGAAGCAACTATTATATAAATTAAAATTTTAATAAAAAGTACATCTTCCCTAATATTCTGTTCACATAAAACTGAATGTATTTTCAAATGTAAAGGGAGGCACCTACAAAGTAACATTACTTTGTGGTATAATTCATTTAGTAAGAATATTGAATGTGTATAGTATTATGTATTAACACAATAAACTAAAATATTTATTTATACCAGTAATAATTCATATGCATACTGCATGTCTTTAGCTTTAACTGGATATTCTTCTAATTGCAATACTGGATTTGCAATGCATTGCTTTACTGTGTTAAAATCTTTCCATTTTAGGGCGCTGTTAAGCTGTTGCAGAACATTAATAACTGTAGACCATAAAACATTTAAATAGATTAGACAATTATATTTTTTTTATGATTAAAGGTATGATACCTTCTTTGTTTTGTTCTAGTTGATTATGAACAATATTCACACAATCTTTGATATTCATAAATGATAATATTCCGAAGCATCCTTTATTTATAATTTTAAATCGTCTACATGCATCAAAGGCACTCCAGTATTGTAATTTTAATCCTGCATCAAGTTCTTGATCCTACAAAATTAACAAACTCATTTAAATTGATATTTAGATTTATTTTATCAAATTTTACTGGAAAAAATTTCTTTAATTTTGCAAGTCGATCCCATGTTAAATCAATATTTTCCGATAGAACAGCTTTTGTTACATCAGCTATCAGATTTAAAACCTGCAAACTCTGTACAATATCATTGTAACTAAGGTTTTGCTGTAAAAAATTAAAATGGTAAAAATTATTCTTATTTTTAAATTAATTTCAATGATGCCATCAATATTCTAAAAAATGCATTATATAATTTAAAATATCAAATTTCTTATTCTACAATATATGTAATTTTACAAGAAAAGATATATTAATATTATCCAAATCAGAATAAAAATAAAATAGTATTAGAATCATTATCTTACATCTATATCACATCGATCAATCTTCAGTTCTTCAAAATACAAAGGTATAGCAAATTCATTAATAAGATGATTTAAGTTTAATATAGGATCTTTGAGAACACGTGTAAAACCATCCATATCATCAATTATTAATGTGTCATTTAATTTTTTTATAGAAGTTTCCTCTGAAAATATTATTTTTGGATAATTTTATAAATTTTTTTTTTGTAAAAATTTCTTACGTTTGTTATAGTTGTGCGCCAATTGATTTCCCATGTTAACAACACGTTGAAGAAAACATTTTTTATCAATTGCATTAAAAGTTGTATGATTAGCAGTTTTTAATAGATTATGAAATTCTGATTTATAATATTTACCATTTTGCTTTTGCACATCCTAAAATAAAATAATATTTAATATGCCAACAAATACATACTAAATAATATATAAATTACTATTAAAGGCAGGTATTTTGATTTTAATATATCGACAACTTCATCTTCACAACTTGCTTTACTCATTTCATTCCACTTTTGGTCAACTGCAATAAATTAAAAATGTATTATCTACATACAATAAATTGAAAGTTCCTTACTATTTGTGGATGAAATATATCCCTGTATTTCATTTTGAGTTAAAATATTATCATACGTGTCTGGTTCAAAACTTTCACTCAGGGACTAAAAAAGATTAAGATGTATAAATTAATTTTTTGTCTTTCAAAAACTGGAAACTTTTTATTAATATTATAATTATCTGCTTTCCATACAAGTATTAATAAAATAATGTTCAGAAATTTAAATATCTTACTTTATTCAAAGTAGATTCTTCTTTTGAATATTTAACATTACGTAATACGGCTAAATATTTATCTATATAATCCAAATTAATAAAATGTAATTTTGCTGCTCTGTTACATAGACATTTTGTGAAATAATTCATATCCTAAAATATTAAAATACAATATATAATTACAAGATAAAAATGAAAAGATAATAGAAATTTGCTACCTTAGATAAAATGGAATTATTTATTTCGATAATAGCTTCTTGCAATGTTAATGTGTCTCCCTTTGTATCTTCTGATAAAAGTCCTGCAATTTTTTGGAACTTAGGAAGTTCTATACCATTTTCTGCCAATTCTTTTCTTGTGGCAGTTATTGTTTCAGCTTGAATATAAAAACAAAAAAATAGAATTTAATTTGTTAATTTAAAATTCCTTTTTTTTCTTCATTTTTTATCACCTGAAAAATCAACTTTTCCATATAAATCTTGAATTAATGGTGCTTGACCTCGTTTGAATAAATGGGTACTTAGAGCATGAAGACAATAAATAACTTTTGGCATATTTTTCTTATCATAAACATCAGTGGTCTCCGGATGGAATATCTATAAATAAAAATTGAACTTGTCAATACATTTCTTTTATCAATATCTTAAGTTTACCTTTGGCAGATTAACAACATTTAAAGATTTTAACCAATAATTGATGTTATCTGTATGACGATATTGAAGACCTGCTGTCTTGTAACGTCTTTCATCACGGTCATAAATGCAAGATAATGGTACAGTTGAAGGAGCAATGAAATTTCCTAGTTTTGCTAGCAAAACACCATTTCGTAAATTATCTTCCAGTTCCATTACAGGTGGTAAAGTGGTTTTTAAACACGACTCTAGCCATCTAGAATTATTTATAAATATATTTGTATTATTTAACATTAGAAAAAGCTTAAGTACTCAAATAAGAACATACACTTTTGTTTCTTCTAAATGACATAGGTATTCATAAGCCAAATTATCTTGTCTTATTATATCTACTTCAATAAGACTTGGATTTAAAATTTCCTGCGGTTTGTTACTGCAAAATAAAACCATGCATGTGAATAATAAAAAAATACAAGACTTAAGACTAAATTAATTTAAATCGAAAAATTTACCTTGGAAGAATTACTGACATTTTTGAGTTGATTTGCAAAAAACTGATATCTAATTATAATTTAAAGATAATTAAAAAATATGTTATACTAAGTGCCAACTATTAATTAAATAGACGTTGTGTAATAAGCTTAAAAATTATAATTGATAACGTAATACTGAACACCAACTATATTAACAAAAGAAGGTAAAAATTTAAAAAAAAATCAATGTCAAATGTACAAAAAATAATCAACAAGCGCTTAGCCGAAAGTCGTCAATACATCCATTCATAGACAAGAATACATCCATTATCTCGTTTTTCTATGAAGAGTGAAGATGTCAACGTAATGTCAACCGTCAATTGTCAAATTTACTCAACTACTCAAATGTTAAATTTTTAACGGTTATCGAAAATTGAATTATTAAACATTCTTATTTCTTATCAAGAAAATATTATATTATCATTTCCGTTGTGAACCGTTTAGGAAACGGTCTTCTAACCTTACCTAACCACGGTTACGGACAAAAATGAAAAATCCATTTTATAAATTGTTTTTTTTTTAATTCCCACACAATACTAAAAAACGTTTTAATATTAAAATCTGGTATTTAAGAAATGTAAGAAATGTAATATCATGTGAGTTTTAATTAAAAAATTACCTATCTATTTATGTTTCAAAAAACATTCGGTGAAACCACCTGCTCATGAATCAAATTGAATACCAGTATTATTTCAATGTTATGTTGGTCACATCTTTGTAGGACGGTTCGCTTACAGACGTTAAAATGTCAAGTAACTTAGGGCCGTAGTGGGGAGAAAATCCGTTAAATAATTTAAGTTTCACGTCTTGTTCATTTTGGTGTCTCACTGGATTATTGGATTATTTCAACTTCATTTTTTGTAATTATTTTTTTCCGTAATAACGACAATATTGTCGTCTAATTTATTTCTGTTCTATTTCCGTAGACGTTGTTATTCGGTTTTCCAAGACTATTTTTGTTAAACTGTATACAATATTACGGTATACGTATATACATTGTTGATTTTTGTTCTCGAGATCTTGTTTCGTTTAGACTGCTAAGTACTTTTTATTGTTAAATATTACTCTGGAGAAACGGACAACGGCCTTACACTCTTTTTCTCGTTTGTTCAACATCGTTATTATCTATTGAAAATGGCGACTGGCATCAGACGTGACTTGCACTTGGTAAGATTTTTTCCGTAAGCTCCAAAAACCATGTCATGGCCCGGGGTATAGTCAACGCACCCGAATGTTGGTTTTTATTATAGTAAACCGTAAAGGCCCTCGACAATGGTTTTTTAGGACTTTACGGCTGAATGTTATTAAAATTGAAATATGTTATATTATTTATGTATTGAAAATAATAAATAACCATTGAATTCTTACACGTTATATACACTACGAAAATAATATGTTTTTTTGAAAATTACTGTGTTTGATTATTGATGATTTTTGTTTGATATCCTGCGAATAATGAATAAGACAATACTTACCCAATATCTCATTTTCAGTGTTGTACTAAAATTCTATACTCGGACGAGATTTAGAAATTATTATTTTGCTAAAATATTATCATCTTTTTAAAACCGTATCTGGTTTCATTTTGTATGTGCATACAATTTTTACTAATCATGCCTAATGTTGAAACATTTTATATTTTCATATAAGGTTCCATATACGTTTTGCATACATTTATAGGTAATTAAAATAAAGTTGGTGGTAATTTCACAAAATATTTTTTATGAGCATCTGAATATATTTTACAAAATAAAATATTCATGTGAAAAATTACAATTTTTGTTTCTTGTTGTAATTAAAATAATTGTAATGATATACCTTGTGTCCCTATTTGTATGCATCCTTAAATTCAAATTAACTTGATTTGTAATGTATCAATTCAAATTAGAATACAAGTATACATGCAAGTCTTAAACCGTATTATTGTAATACACTTCCACCAAACCAGTGTATGTTGCAATGTTTACATGCAGAGTTTAAAAGTTAAACCTATTTACCCTAATTTGAATTGATAATCTCATTTGGTGTTAGTGCATGCATATTGTACCCCCGTAGGTATTTCAAATTTGAATTAACTAAACCGTTTTAAGTAAATTGAATGAACTGCTTTTTACATGCATTTAAGTTCAGGAGTTAACTAATTCAAATTGGATTAAAAAATCGGTATTAGTTATGCATGTAACCACAGTATTAGACACCTAAAATATTCCTGCTGTTTAAATTATAATTTAAAAAATGTTTTTTTATTAGAGTTATCTATTCATAAGCATTAGAAATTTTTTAATTAAATTTTTTTCTGTTAAAATTGTTAAGGCTCTGTTAATTACTGTACAATAGTAGTTACAAGAAAAAAAAAAAAATCGTTATCATTTAAACGGCAATGCGTGTTCATATTATTGGTTAAAAATAATATATACTTTTATAATTCTTTCAGAGACAAGACAAAGTTTATAATGAAAATAATATTCCTAAAGGAGTTAAAGATTCTAAAAGCAGTGGTTTAATAGCTCCAAGAAGAGCTGTATTAAATGACTTAAGCAGTAATTTGCAGAATAATCAGAATGTTAATCAAAAAGGAAAGATTACAATAACAAAACCTACTATCCAAATAACAAAGCCTACTACAAGACTTGCTTCTAAGTATGTGTTTTACAGTGTAATTACCATTTTCTAAATATAAATGATGAAACATTATGTTTTGTTCAGTTTAAATCGTACTACAACTTCCGTTGCTGCAAAAGTGAAACCTTCATTAAATACATCTAAGACTGTTCTTAAAGTTAATTCTGGTTTGAATGAAAATGTATCCAACATTCCAAAAGCTATCATCAGACCTAAGACAGTTGGATTGATCAAGACTTATAGAGGAACTTTGACCAGGAGTTCGTCACTTAAAAACAAATCAGTAAGTGAAATACTCAAATACAACTATACGTTTAATATATTTCCTTTGTTAAATTATCACATTTAAAAATGTATTTAGGCTGTATTGACAGAATCTCAAAAGAAGGAACAAGAATGGATTACTGCTTGTAAAGTAGATGCTGTTGACAAAAATGATGAATTCGATCCTTTTCTCGTTGGGGCATACTCCAAACCTATTTTTGCTTATATGATGGTCTTGGAGGTATTTGTTACAATGTACTATCTAGTGAAATGTCTATGTATGAGTATTAATTTATTGTTTCTGTTATAAATTAAGAATCAACATTCCATAAAACAAGATTATTTAGCCAACCACAAATATATCACATCATCTAACCGTAGTGTTGTTGTTGACTGGCTTGTGGAAGTACAACAAGAATTTCAAATTATGCAAGAATCTCTTTATACAGCTGTTGGAATTCTTGACAGATATTTACAAGTAATTATAAATATTTAGCTACTTGAACCTGTCCCAATCATCAACTATTTTATAATTATTTTGGAGACCCCACATCCATTTGCCATCGTATAAATAGATAACATAGCAAGTTTGAATTATTCTAACGTTTAATTTTTAAGCAAATTATATATATATATTTAAATGTTATTAAATTACATACTTATCATTATGTCTATAGTTTAAATAAGTCTTAAAAAAAACTAACTTAAACTTTGTTTTTCAGGAAAACCAAAATGTTGCTCGAAATAAACTTCAATTAATTGGAGCTACAAGTCTACTGCTTGGCTGCAAGTATGAAGAAATATACGTACCTGAGATAACTGACTTTGTCTATTTATCAGACAATGCTTTCACGAAGGATGAAGTAAAATCAAGTTTAGTGGATGTCTTCAGAACTATTAATTTTTCACTTTCTAGACCTTTCTCCTTAACCTTTTTGCGAAGGTTTAGCAAAGTGTCAGGTGTAAGTGATACATAGTGTTTTCTTGTATTATAAATTATAAATACATTATTTTTGTTTAGGCACGATCATCCCAACATTCTTTGGCTAAATACTTTTTGGAATTGGCATTAATTGACTATAATTTAGCACATATTAAGCCATCTGAAATAGCTGCATCTGGCTTGTTGTTAGCAGTCGTCATAACTAATGATCCTGAATTAGATGATAACCCTGAAGATGTCAAATCATTATTATCTTTATATTGGACAGATGTAATGCAAAAACACTCTACATATGAAATGGATGAATTAATATCTACCGTTCAATCGCTTGCACATCTAGCTCTTAATGCCCCTGAATGGAAATACAAGGTAAAACACTTTTTTACTTCATATAAAATTTAACATTCAATCTTCTATAAAATGATAGGTATTTAAAAATAGAAATGTTATTAGATGAAACTCTATGAAAGAGGTTTTTGGGATTTATCTATATATATCTTCACTTAGATGTATCATTAAGTTACATCTTTTTATGTTGTATTCATAATTTGATAAATAAAAATAATAAACCTTACTATTTAAATAACTTATCAGTATTGTTTATTTTACACTCAGGCTGTTTACAAAAAATACCAGAGTGCTAAGATGGGAAGAATCACAACAAGTTCCTTACTGAGTTCACCAGCTATGAGGTTTATTGCACGCAAATGTTAATTAAGTATCTCCAGACCTAACTATTTTTAACTTTTTAAAATATATTTTGTTTTTATCTTGAGTGGTTATGCCGCCGTTTTTACATTAGATTTTTTCTTATAATTATTACACTAACATTATTTTTTTTTTAAGTGAAAAATGTGCGCATTAACAATGTTAGTACAAATTAATGTCTTTTTTTTATTGAACAAAACAAATATACCTATAAATTATATAACTTAAGAAAAGTATGTTTAGCTTGTTATGTTTTTAAGTGTATTTTGATATATAACCATTGTATACAGTAACAATTATTAAATCACACTTAAATTTTAATTTTACAAAATTGAACAAAAGTAATTTTGCTTTGAAGCGATGATATAACATACTTGTGTTGATATGTTCCAATTTTATAAATTTTTTTTATTTCTGTGGGCGTTAATGAATTATTCTTAAATTTAAGATTTATTAAATTATTTACACAGACAATAGACTGAAATATTTTTGTTTTTAACACAGTTAAATTTATAAGAAATAAAAATAATGTTAATTCAATTTATACCGTTCTCAGTATGAAAATGCGCCTTACAATTATTGTCTCCTTTTGAATTTATCATCAACGTGTGTTCTCTGCCATTGCACATCATCATTTATTTATTAATATATATTTTTCTTATGTTTTCTAAAAGTAATTGTATTGTGTAAGTTAGTTTTAATTTTTTTTTGTTTAATAAATAGTCTGTAAAACCAAACTTCAGAGTTGCAAGTTGATTACATTATTTAGTATTTTAAAATTAGAACCTGTATCAAGTTTGCATTGGGAATTAACTTTGGGATAACCATTGTAAAAAAAAAAGACATTTCTGTCTAATCAATGTTGTAGTATCATTACTATTTAGTAATGTTTCCTCATACCTAATAGAATAATTTCTATATTGTGGAATGGAGATCGCTAAATTTTTTCTATAGTTTTCATAAATATATTTTATGTGCATAACATTAATTAATTGCAATACTATTATAGTGTTACATATAAATACTATAAACTGCTCACTATTAATTTGTTAAATGTTAAGTGATTGTCCGTGCAACCTGGCATGTATGTTAGTAAATATAGTTTCATTTGAAAACATCAATAGACAATCCTACTATCCTAGATTAATTTTGAATACAAATTGTATTCTATATATTACATAGTTTATCAATTTTACCATTTACTTTACAGGTCTTACATAGTTACATTTGTATATATTATGAGGGCACAATTATTTATTATGGTATTATTTGTGTTATTTTAGGTGTCTGTAATAATACTTAAAACCTTAAAGGACTTATTTATTGTTGTAAGTCAGTGCTTTAATATTGATGCTTCAAAATTAAATAAATATTGATAAAGAATAGCGGCATTAAAATGTTTGCTCTAGGGTAGAAAGTATCAAACGACATGACTGCACAAAAATTGTATAATATTCAAATAGCATAAAGGTGAGTGGTGACCCAAATGTAATTACTAGTTATATATTTACTATTACAAATAGTCTTCCATTTTTTTATTTTAATATATTTATAATATATAAATAGTACTTAATGAAACAGTGAAATATGTGCTTGACCTAATGAGTAAGGCAGAGGGTAACCATTGGCCATGTACATGTGGGTGTGGTCGATACTGAGGTGATCAAATATAACCTCATCCCTTATGACTTCAACTCATATGATTTGGGCCATGGTAGTATAATAATAATATACATATTATACACTACTTAAATTATAACATAATGCTGTTCGAATATGTTCCAAGAAATATCTAAACCACCAGACACTTAACTCGACGAAAACGGCTAAATAATTAATGTAATAACTAATAATTATATTTATTATAATGTGTAGAACGAGCGAACGTCAATATAGTCGAATATCTTCAAAATAATATTTAAAACCAAATGTAAAATTATACTTTACATATTATAATTGTTGAAAAAGTCGAAAAAGAATATTGTTGGAAAATATTTCTGGGGAGGTTTGAACCGTTAAACTCCTATGTACCAATACCATAATATTGTCTATATAATTATTAATTATTGACCTCAGTGTTTTAATATCCTAATCTGAACAAATCTTGTAATAGGTATCTACTATAGTCGGAAACACGGAAATAACTTTGCTAGTATGCGAGTTAATAAAAGTTAATAACCACAGAAAAGCTAGATGGCATTTGAGGGGGTTGCTCCCTCAATTTCTCAGAAAAAAAAATGTTAAATTTCATGGTCAAATTAAAAAAAAATTACTTTATTAAATATAGATCAAATTTAGAAAAAAAAACAATAACAAGACTTAATAATACAAAATAAAATACAGCAACCGGCAAGACACGTATCTATTCATATCTAAACGGCATAGAAAGTGCAGATCATAAAAGCGCAACTAGACGTTTCGTGGTTTCGTCCCCGTTAAAAAAATGAGCTCTCGGACTTTTCGTCCTCGTCTATTCTTGAAATAGGACATTATCCATATGATTTTATTAAATTAAAATCGGTTAATCTTTTTGACTTTTTTAGAAATATAAAATTCATCAGTCTCAATTATTTATATTTGATATTTTAGTTAGTCACTGTACTAATCACATACAAATTATTTACATTTGATCACTTATTTGTTATTTTTAAAAAATATAAATATTATCATTATTACATTTAAATTCATTGCAATGTTGTTTTATTTTATCTTCATAATAATTCGTTTTTGGCATAGAACTATTAACCTATTTATTAATTTGTTAATAGGTCTATGGTTTTTGGCATATTTTTAGTTTTATTTGTATTTTTATCAAGACAGTCATTGCGGTGACTATAATTAATAGGTATGCGGTTATTGTGATTTAAATTCTTTTGCTATCCTTCCGTCAAATATTATCAATCTTACTGAAATTGTATACTTTAATCGTATTATAAAAAACAAAAGCTATTTAAATTTGGTTATTTAAAATACCGGACTCAACTTTTTATGGGTTAAAAACAGACTGGAACATAACGTCCGGAAACATTTTTTTTGACGGGGGGTAACATGCGGGATTCTGGGGGGGGGGTTGAGCCTTCCAAAACTTGTTAATAGACTAATAGTCCCTCCCAAATAAATGATTCAATTGTTTTCTAAAATATTAATAAACCTTTAACATTTCAACAGAAATTTTTATTTTTTTATAAACCGCCAGAAATAACAAAAAAATAGGAATGAATAAAGGGAATTTCTACGCAGAACTATTTTTTTGGTGCCACTCAACTTTGGGCACTTGACATTTTCACAAAAAATATTTATTTATTAGCATTTTCCAACCATTTTCATATATAATCCATCTAATTTTTTTGAGCGTTTGAATTCAAAATTTGCCAGGACGACACAACGTCTACGAGCCGATCTCCGATCGAAATCGTTTTTATTATGTGATAGTTTATCATTGAATTCATATCTAACAGTTAACACTAACGTCTAACACATTCCTTACAATGCCATAGTCGATAACTAGTGTACAGTATTGCAGTACCCACTTGTCTACCTTTTTTTCTGTATTTTTCATTTTTTTAAAGTGAATACATATGAGGGGTGTGGGGGCAACGCCCCCATGGATTAAATTTCATGGTAGGTACCTATTTACTACCATGGAACAACTACTTGTGTAACTCTTTTATTACTCCTTCGTAGTATCGTTTAAAATAAATAAGTAGGTAGCTATTTATAAAATCAACTATAATAAAAATTGATTAAATATTTCGTCCACGAAGACGTCTTACCTATCAGTTAACAAGTTGTTAATAGAACTAATAGAAGACTTGTAGCACATAATAGAGCTAAAAAATAAGCTCGTAATTACTTAGTTATTTGTTCGTAAACAATTAGACAAAAGATAAATATATTAAATAGGTATATATATATAATAATAAATATATTTTGTTATAGGCATAATGTTGTTTAGTATAAACCATAAGGGTATATGGTCTATGATACAACGTTCCTATCTTATCTTTCCAAGAGCTAATTTGATATTTGTATACCTCTTAACTCTTAAGTCTTAGATCATGATATACATTCATATAAAAGTATATATAGTATCATACAAAGGATGGAGTCACAACTCAAGGTTTTGATGTTCGTGCATGGTGCATGTACATGTTAGCAATGAGTATATTTTTGTATAGGTACCTACCTAATTTTCTAATCAATAGTTTATAATATATACATAATAAAATATTAAATTGTTCATTGGTCGGCGATTAGCCTTAATGTCATGTAATATGTCATAATGTTATGATATAAGGCACGCCGTTTTTTATTCTTAATTTCTTATCTCACTCAATATATTATGGGACAACTTACTTATTAATAGGTGTCTGGTATTTGAGTGTTTAATGTTTATTCATACAATATTTGAATAAACATATAGGTAACGTTTATTAAACTTAATGATATCAAATATTTTGTATAAAAAAACGTTTTAATAAATAAATTGTTTTATATTTAAATAATAGTTATAATACAAGAGTGATCAATGTTCATACATATTATTATAGAATATTATTCTCAATAGTAATATACAACTATAATGATTTTTTTATTTGTAGCAGTAATTATTATTGTAACAGTATTTTCTCCAGCGAACACAGCCAACATCTTAGCTGTGTTTCCTCATCAAGGCTTTAGTCACAATGTTGTTTACCAGCCATACATCCTAGAACTTGCCAACCGAGGACACAACATCACTATTATTACTAACTATCCGCTAGAACATCCAAACATAAATAATATATCAATTAGAGGATCAATGCCTATTTCCAATAACAAAAAAAATATCAGCCATATAGAAGGCAAATTTATGAATGAAATACAAAGTTCAATAAGTACAATTTGGAATTTTCATTATCGTGGAAAAATATATGAAGCTATGTTTACGGTAGATGGTGTGAAGAAATTATTAAACAGTCCTTCTAAATTTGATTTACTCATTACAGAACATTTCAATAATGAATTGTTTTTGGGTTTTGCATTTAAGTTCAACTTACCTTTTATACTACTGAGTTCTTGCAACATGTTACCCTGGAATCAGCATGCGATTGGACAGCCATATTCGTTAGCCAATATACCTTCAACATTAACTGGCCTAGGCACAAAAATGAACTTTTATAACAGAGCTATGAATACAATTTCTCATATAGTACAACTACTTGGTTATAAACTGTTTCGTCGGACAAGAGACGAAGCAATCATCAAACAAAAACTTGACATTGAAGTTTCATTGGACCAATTAATTTTGAATGCTAGTTTGATTATGGTTAACACTCATTTCACAATGTTGGAATCTAAACCGCTAGTACCAGCTGCTGTGGAAGTCGGTGGGATACACATAACGCCAATCAAACCTTTGCCTGTAGTAAGTGTGTAATTTTTGTTAATTGTTATCATATTAGTAGTTTTGATTTCAATTGGAATTATTTTAAACTTTCCCTATTTTAATGACCTGTAAACTCTCGCAAATCTACTTCAGAACTACTGAAGACCGAAGGTCATATATTATGTATGTGTAAACCTCCAGAGTTTGTAATAACTTTGTCTTACATTATGATTGAGTCATTATATAAAATATAATATGAACAATGAACATACACATTAAAAAAAAAGCCAGATGGATTAAGTAGGTACCTAATTTATTATATAAATCTGCATGATTATGTGTACAAGCGCTTCAATGCATAGTGAGAGAAAGAGAAAACAAAAGTTATTTTCATCTTAAAAATAGTAGAATGAACTATGTTATATAATTGCTATAAGAATACTTAGCTTTTATTTTTCCATGCTATAACGTTTGTCATATTTACCAACAAATTTAGTTATGACTTCATAGTTATCAGGACTAAAACATATGTTATCAGTTATGCAATATAATTTTTTTAGTACTCAGCACTTATTACTTTTTAATTTAGTTACTTTAATAATATTTATAGTCATATAATACAAGTAATATAATTATTATCATCACTCAAACTCACTTTAAATTAAAGTGTACTAAGAAAAATAACTTATTTACTACACTTAAAAATTATTTTACAGAGCCACAGCCCTATTAGCAAGTGATATTAGTCCACAGTTATGGCCAATAAATTTAAGTATTTGTTTGGTTATTTATAATGGTATTTAGGTTTTTTTAGGACAAGAAGTTAAAATTTCAATTTTCATTGAATATATTCTAACAAAATTTGATTATTAATTGTTCATATTTTGTTCACTTATACGATTTAAAAGATTATAAATTGTGTAGGTAACCATGCTTAACAAAAACATTTTATGACACAGAACTATATGGCACACATTAAAATAAATATTAAATTATGTATCATAAATACAATATAATTTTTTAATTAAATATTATAATATAATATATTTTACAAAATAATAGACAAAATGTAATTAATTAAAGACAATATTAAATTACAATAATATTGTAATTATAATATAAACATCAGTGGAGTATTTAGAATTTTTTTTTTAGGGTGGTTAAACGAAACTACAACCCCTCCCCCCTTCTCTGGATACTCCACTGATAAACATTATTGAAAATTAACAAAAAAGTTGAGCGTAAATCCACAATAATTGAAGTTGCACTCGCTAGCAAGTCATATGGAAAATACAAGTAATAAAAATCGTCCGATGCCAGGCGACCTAGGCGGCCTGTAAGAGCTTTCATTGTTATAGATGTCAATATACAAAGTAACAAATCAACAAGCATCTAAACCAAAATAAACACATACTTTAACCAATAAAATTTAATATCATAAAATGTTAAGATTATTCTTATTAAAAGTACCAATGTAATTATTCAATCATCACACATTATATGGTTGTGGAAAATAAAAAATAATAAACAATTAGAATTTTAACTTTAAAATATTTTAAGGACCTAGTTGAGATTAATATGTAAATAAAATTAGGAATCGGTATTCGGTTAGAACATACTATATAGGTTATTAAATATTATTACTAAATACATTATTGCATTAACATAATAGTTTGGTATATTGTGTCTAATACCTATATTTATTGGTGATGACTTCTGATGAGCAAAATATTTTATAACTCTTTCACATTGATCTGTCAAGCAGGGGCGTTCTCGGGGGGGGGGGGGGGGTTCACTCCTCATGAACACTTGAAAAAGTATATGTACTTACTACTTACGTTTAATTAATAATTATAACTTTAATTCATAATATGTATATTGATTGTATACTATAAAAAATTAAACATCCTCTCCCCTTTCAAAATTCTTGGGCATGCCTCAGCTGTCTAGTACTCAAGTGTGTTCTATATATTATGTTCCCCCCTCTGTTTAAACGGAAGTAGGGGGGCCTCGATTTGAACAATACTACTCGTCTATTCCTCTACTGCCATCGTTAATTAATGTATCACATTTATAAATTCATCTGCGTACGACTATATTATGTTTATCCATTGCTTAATCCTATATAATACCTTACTAAAAGCCAGACAAAAAGCTAAATCGTCTTATGTTTGCAAAGAATATTTCTGGAGATTTATAATGAGTAATGACCACCAAAACCTCTGGAAATGATTTTAATACAAATAAAACAAAAAACATTGGTGAACACTAATATATTGTTGATTTGTTTGAGAACTATTATATAGTTATACTAATTCATATATTTTTACATATACATAGGACATCCAGAAATATATTGACGAAGCTGAGAATGGAGTCATCTATTTCTGCATGGGCAGTTTATTGCTGGGCGAATCTTTTTCGGCCGAAAAAAGACAAATGTTCTTGAATGTATTCGATAAAATTCCACAACGAATTCTGTGGAAATGGGAAGGAGAACTCCCCGGAAAACCCTCCAATGTAATGATTCAAAAATGGATGCCACAACGAGATATTTTAGGTAGGTACTACCTACGCATTTAACAAACTTCATATGTTTTTAAAATTTAATAAATGTTTGTAAATGTAGGTACGTTTTAAGTTTTTACTACATCAAAATCAAATTTTAAATTTAACTTGTGGTTTAATATTGTATTGAATCAAAATGTTTGACTATGAATATTTATATTATTTATAATTATTATATTTTGTACCTCAGTATTTTTTTTTTTTTACAGCGCATCCTAATGTCAAACTATTTATATCTCATGGTGGCTTATTAGGAACTACCGAAGCCGTGCATGAAGGTGTTCCAATTTTATCAATGCCAATGTTCGGTGATCAAGTAACAAACATCAAAGCTATTGTAAGAAGAGGAGCTGCAGAGATGATGAATTACGGAGATTTGAACGAAGATGAAATTTTTGTAAAAATAACATCGATGCTCACAAATCCTATGTAAGTATATCGTTATTAATTATTATGTTTAATATACCATGCACGGACCGTGGTCAGCGAGGTGGTCAGTTTGTGGTCGAATTGTTATATGAGTGTAATATAATATATGGTGATGGGGGATCTCGGTATGCACTATGCGGTTTTTATATTATTTATAATCTTTACTTATTTGCTTATAATATAGATACAAACAAAAGGCTAAAGAGTTATCAGAAGCTTTTCGTGATCGACCTATGCCTGCTTTGGAAACTGCAGTGTATTGGACAGAATATGTCATCCGATACAAAGGGGCGCCGCTGCTTCGGTCTGCCACCGTCGGTACGCCATGGTATCAATACTATTTAATCGATGTACTGTTTGTAATTTTCTTATTTGTAACAACAATTGTTGTATTACTCTACTGTTTAATTTTCAAAGTTCTTTTAAGATTGTTGAATAGAAAATCTAAAGAGAAACAATCTTAGTAATAATACTTATGTTTAATAAAAATACTATAATACTAAATAGTGATTACCTTATTATAAGTGTGAGGTACATAATATATTAATATGGTACTGCGTATAGCCACGGTATTTTGGATATCGTGGATAGAATGACGTATAAAACTAATAAGGTATATGAAGTATACATTTAATCAATACTGATACCTATACATTTATTTAAATGTTTACATCTCGTTTAAATACAAATAAAAAAAATAAATACAATTTTTACATATTGATTTATATAATTATGAATAACCTAAGATATAAGATTTAAAGCTGTACAATACATTTGAAATATATCTGATTATTCAACTATCGAAGTACATGTATTGCAGGCATTACCTATATTATAATAAGTGATGAAAACAGTTGAATATTGATTCGTACGTCCGGTTACACATTTTAAATCGGTATATATCACATCTTTTGATAACCTATTTCTCTGGTTATATGTTCAGCTATCGTTACACAGGTATAATATTAATAGATATATCCCGCCCGCTGCGCGGCGTTGCCCGTGTCAAAGATTGGTTTTTTTTATAAAATGTATATTTGTTAAAAAATGTGTACCTTTGCCGTATTATGTCTAATAATTATAACAGTAATGTAAATTGTAATATGTAACCGATAGCAACCACTAAAATAAAAAATAAAAAGTTCATGTGCGATCTATCCTTAGCTACGCGTATAGGGGATGAAAAAATTTGAAATCTGTCCAGTAGTTTTTGAGTCAATAAACTTCGGATAAACCAACATCTATTTTTATGCACAGACTTTTATTATCAGCTGTAACCATTGGTAACTCGGCTTGTCCGTGAAAAAAATTAGTAAAATATATTCCGGTAATTGGTATATATCTCGATTTTAGTGTACTTCAGTTCACGGGCAAATATACGTCGGTGTAGGGTTACCTATTGCTTTGTGAACAGTCCGACTCCGATTCACACTATAGTACGACCTGACACGACCCGAACAAATATTATTTGCCAGAATGCATCGTGTCGTGTTGTAATAGTGTGAACTTAGGGCTTCGACCGAGATGGACAATTTGTCTGTGGCTGTTTGGACGTATATGTAATATGTATATACTTGGTTTATTTTCGAATAAGGTTCAAACTTCTCTATATAAGCCTTCCTGATATTTCTATGAACAAATTGAAATTTTCATCAAAATTGGTCAAGTAGCTTTTGGGTGCATAAGTTACGAACATATAGATTCAACTCTCATATTTGTTTTAAGATATATTTTCTTTATTTGATGCCATGATGAACGTGATGATTTTATACATAATTTTACCTTATCTGCCCAAGTACCCAACTATAATAGCGACCATTTACAAACCAACAGAAATTTTTTCGATTTTCATCGTACATTGCAAAAACCTTCAGTGAGCAGTGAGCATCTGTTTAAAAATGCGAATTTTGGAAAATCCTTTCTTATAGACTTATAGTGCATCACTATACACGGTGCGTCGGTGCAGGTATGAAGCATTGAAGCAATGAAGCCTATATTCTGTGATCATTTAAAGTCTCTAGCTATCATAGTTTAGGCTTTAAGTTGATGGTTGATCAGTTAGTCAGTCGGTAAGGAAAGTTTACTAAACAAAATAATGTTACTGTTGGGAGCTTGGAGCAGCGGTGCGCGTCCCAAGGATTGTCATCCAACCAATGCACGACCACGGTAAATGCACAACTGAACTTAGAAGCTGCACAAGACAACTTGACAACGGATTTGATCAAGTACCGATGATTGGTACCAAGCTCAGTGGCTATTTATGTGTACACTAGGAAACATTTTGTGCACTACAAAAAATAAAAATAAGCACCTGCTACCTGCCACCCAAGATTGCATGTAGATCAGACAAGGTTTCAAGTTGAACCGTTCTGTAGATTTAAGATAAAAAAAATAATATATATGTATATTAAATTATACTTACCTAAACATTTTTATCGATAATAAGTGAAAACAGAACTAAAAAAAAATTTTCATAACTATAAATAGCTCAAAAAGAGTCAAAATATTTAAAAATTGAATGGTGTATAAAATGGTATTATAAATATCTGATGAAAATTTAAAGTATCTAAGGTCAATGGTTTTTAGTTTCATCATTGATTTTAAAATGGTTACATAAAAAAAATTGATTTTGTCAAAAACTGGGTTTGAGTAAAAATGATTGTTTTCCTCTTTTTTTTTTCCAGACGCTTTTTAAAACTGCTGTAAATTTTTAAATATGACCCCTATACTCTAATGAGTCTTGTAACAACTAAATTCACTTTCTCATCAGGAAAAATCCTGAAGTTTAAAATCAAAGCATTATTTCTACTTGTGTTGTATAGGTAATTTCAACTAGTACCTATATGGCTATATACTATACGCTTATAAAAATAATATGTTTGAACTTATATCGACAACATACCATAATATCATGGCTGTTTTACCAGTTTTCGATGAAATTATTGTCACCTGCTGGCGAAACGGGAAAATTGAAACGTTATCAATAGAATAATATTAAAAATATTTTAAAACTGGTATATTTGTCGCCTTGTCGGCGAATTGCAGGGATTCGGCAAAGTGGGTATGCAACATGAATCGAAAAAGTAGTAATATAATTAATAATAATATTTATTTTGAAATTAAATTGTTTTCGTCGTTCATCTAAGTACATTTTTTGGTCATTTTTTAAGTTCATTTTTTAGAGTTTTTAGGTCATTTTTGTATATTTTTTTAGCTCATATTCCTGTATTTATTAGGTCGTTAAAATCCTAGCTTTAGTTATCACTTATATTTATGCCAGTCAAACGGTTAAAAATACATTACAATTATGTATGTAAAAGTACAAAATTATTGAAAATTGAATTTTCTATCATAATATTTAAAAATAATTACTTATATATGTTTAGGCACAATTTTTTTTTAAATGTTTCCTTTTCGTAGTCAGGAAATTCGTTTCTACAGAAAATGTAATCACTCAAAATGTGTAACACAAATTGGTGTTGTTCCTAATTGCCAATTGGCGCTTACTGCAGGTGAGTACCGATTGAATTGTAGTCTTCAACTAACTTTATTCCCCTCTCGGGTCTTGGCCGTATCATTGACACTGACAGTTTCCAGTTTAGAGACCAACCTTGTCAACTGCAATGCATTTTGAAAAGATAAGTTTTCACTACAAATTGAACTATGATTGTACAATCTTCGTATAAAAAGTAAATTTTGATAATATGTTAATACCAGCTTATTTGATAATATATTATATATGGTTCACTAATATATTAAAAAATAAATACAAAATAAATAAAAAATATATTGAAATGTATTGAAATATATTGCAGGGAGGCCTCCCAAGCCCATAGGTATTTCCAAAAATTGTATTCTGTGAAAAACAAAATTTCAAAAATAACTATTCTTATATCGAAAGTTTTTTGAAAATTATGACTTAGCCCCCTCGCCCAACTATGTCTCTGGAGCCGCCCTTGTATGGTATGGCTGCAGCGGAAGGCACTTTAAACCAGCCTTCAATATAAATTTTAACTTTAAATTTTAACATACAAATATAGTAAAGTCCGTCTTTTTCAGAAGAAATTAATTCAAATTCATTACGAAAGATATATATTTTAAGGCGATAAATGGCTTTTGCCAACCACGTTGCATGATGCAGAATTGCACTAGAAGTATGGGAAAATGTTGTACTAATTGGTTTATCACTAAGAAAAATCATTGTTAACTTTAATAACTCCTTGTAATAGCTGTCAGTTGAACACGCATTTTCCCTTAAAAAAAAATGTTTTATTTCATTTTATTAATAATTTTACATTTTATACGCAAACGAGAAAGCGCTAATATTACCATTATAATTGTATGTTATAATAATTTAAATAATATTTTAATTAATATGTATAATACGTATACTTACGTATAATGTGTATTTTAAAGGTACCTACTATCACAGAACTACTATCAATATTATATTATTATTACCATGGCCCAATAATCATCATACGAATAAACGATGGCTATTATAGAAGAGAAGAGGTAATATAATGTAATATTAATTAGTTGCCTCCGTCAGACCACACCCGCATAGCCACATCATTTTATTTATCAAAACAAGAGCAGTTTGTAAAGTTTATTTTATACTTATTATACAACTAGTTAGGTATTGGTAAATTGCAATTGTGTCACCGTAATCCTATTTGAAATATGCAGGTTTAATATCGTAATACCTACGCTTTTTGTGTGTTAGGCTGGAATTTCCTTAGTGCTGTAGAAAAAAATTGATTTTTATTTATTATTATAATTGGATATTAAATATTTCCACACTTATATTTACAATTTTTCGTATTTATAACTACAAACAATCAATTTAATACCTGTTAGACATGATATAAATGCTTACTATTATACGTCTATACGTGCACAATATTATATTTAATATATCAATAATTAATATAATGTTTAATGTATAACGATTTATCATTTCATTTCATACCTTCAATATATTATTGTATATTTTAAATTAGGTATGTCTTATTATTATAATAACTATCGTCTGCAAATTGCAATAATTAATTAATATTTATTATAATATTATCCTTATTTTCTACCTAAATTGTATAAAAAAAAGTTATTAATTTTATTAACTGCGACGACATCCAGCGGTTTACAATGGTACCAGTTATGTTGGCTAACAGATTTGTGTAGAATGCCACATACAACTTTGTTTTCGACTTTCGTATTCGATTTAATTCAAACTGATGCAAGACTGTGACAAAAAAAGTGTAACACGTCTTGTGGAGTGGTTACATGGTGCATTAATAAATCGTCAAGTCATAAACTTTAAGGGACAAAGGTTCAGTCTTCAGTGCACTGAACTAAATATAGTACCTATAGGTGTATAGTTCTTAAATCTTTTTCTGCGGGTTCTGTGCTCTCGGAGTCGGCCCGCTCTCTAGACGTGACCAGTGAAGTTTATTTCTTATCAATCGGACATCGGCAAACGATTTTTATTCGATAATGAATATTATGCAGAATCATTTTGAACAAAAAGGTATTCTGAATTTGAAGTTTGAACAATCATCTTAATAAATAGTAATAACTATTATTCTTACAATGTGCTAGTTAAATAGTTACGATTATTAGACCAGTATTGAACGTTTTTGGAATTTTAAGACCAAAGATTGTTATAGTTTTTGGAGAAACAATTCTGTGTAACTGTAACATGAGTACAACGTTGCAAACAGATGAGTTTCCAGTATGGGCATTGGTACCAAAAAAAGAAACTGGAGTCTCAAACTTTTTGGCCAAAAATCCATTATACGATGGCCGTAATGTGACAATAGCTATATTCGATTCCGGTGTCGATCCTGGAGCTCCTGGTCTTAAAGTGAGAACCCTCAGTGAGCAGTAGATAATATTTTAAATCTTATGAAAATATTTCAGGTGACAAGTGAAGGAAAACCAAAAGTCATTGCTAGATATGACTGCAGTGGTGCTGGTGATGTTGATACATCAACAATAGCTACACTGGAAGGAAATGAAATAAAAGGACTAAGTGGACGTACACTTGTGGTAAGTACTTGATACCATTTCACCTGTTTTCAAATGATGTCTATAACATCTCTTGCAGATACCAAGTACTTGGAAGAATCCTACTGGGAAGTATCACATAGGTATAAAAAATGCATATGAGTTATACACTAAAAATGTTCAAAAACGAATTGAAGAAGAAAAGAAAGAAAAGGAATGGGACCCACTTCATAAGCCATTGTTATCACAATTAATCACGGAACAACAAAATTTCAATAATGTAATTAATGAATATAATGTGTCCCTAGTCTTACTAAACAAATAACATTTTATATAGGAATATGATCCTTCTAAAGTCATGCCGTCAAGACACCTGAAATTAAAAAAAGATGACCTGGACAGCACTATTGAAGCTTTACAAAATTTAGAAAAAAAGTATAAATTCATTACTCCAGTTTACGATTGTGTTGTTTTCCACGATGGAGTTCAGTGGCTGTGAGTATCTTTTTCGGTATTTATGTTCTACTGTACAAAAATAACTCAACTACCGTATCATACAGCATACTACAAATTTTGTATGGGTATTGTCCAGTGTTTGGAAAGAATGTTGTTCAAGTTCATATTTAAATGAATTTGAACGATTTTTAAGACTCAATTTATTTGTCATTTAATAAATATATCGATTAATTATTTTATATAATAATATTTATTAATAATTTCTATTATTTAACATTTTTAAATTTAAGTGAACCTAGTGAATGCATTTATTTAATCAATGAACAGTTCCGTTTGAAGGACTGAACGTGAAAGTCCAAACACTGGTATTGTCTTTACTACCAGGTTTTCAATCATTAACATAATGTTATAAATATTATAGTACATTTTCTAATTTAAAACGTGATTGCTTTGTGGTTAGTTGCACATTCTGCAATCAACTGCTGTTTATTTTCCCTCAACTATTTCAGACCCACATTTAACTAACAAAAATTGAACTTTCAAAAAATAGTATTTCAGTATAAGTGTTAACAAGTTCCAATATTTTCTTAATACGATATGATAAAACAAATAATCACAGATTAACAGTTTTCTGACTTGTTATTATTCAAATTTATGATGTTTGTGAATAATAATTATTAGTAAAATAAAAACTGCACTTGAGCAACTGTAACAATAAATATGTAACCATCATTATACTAAATTGTTCTCACTTAGATGTGCTCTAGTAAAAAATTACAATTCAATATTTCCTTGAGCATATTTTATAGGTACCACATATGATAAATCATCAACTTTTTAATTTAAAAAAGTATTAACTGGAGTTACAGGATTTTTACATTTATATCCCAAAACCTGAAAGTGGCATGACACACCCCGTATTGTAATTTTTATTTTGTGTAAAAAAGGTAGTCGTGGATAGTACTAAATTACATAATAGATATTAGCCATTCTTTATAAAATCTATATTATGCAGATTTCTTCTGATAATTTTTTTCTATACAAGTTTATTTTGTTTTAATTATATTACTGTTCATAGTGCATGCTTGGATACTTCGGAAATAGGAGATTTGGCTTCATGTAAACTTATGGGAGAATTTAGTGAAGATCCTGTAAATAATTTTGATTACATCACTGCTTCTGATCGAATGAGTTACTCGTTTAATGTGCACAATGATGGAGATGTATTGGAAATTGTATCTCTTGGATGTAAGTACCGAAGATAAATATTTAGTGTATAATCAATGTGAAATTAACATTTTTTAATCTTGCATTAGCATCTCACGGGACCCATGTATCTGCTATAGCTGCTGGGTATTTTCCTGATGAACCAGACAGGAATGGAGTGGCACCTGGCGCCCAAATTGTATCCTTAACGATTGGTGATAGTCGTCTCGAGACAATGGAAACAGGAACAGCAATTGTGAGAGCAATGATTAAAGTTATGGAACTTAGAAAGAAGTTTAACATTGATGTTATAAATATGAGTTATGGGGAACACTCAAATTGGTCTAATGCTGGGTAATTTCACATTTGCCAAACTGAAAGCAAATAATATGTATAACATTGTTGTTTGGTTTAAAGGAGAATCGGCGATATTATGAATGATGTAGTAGACAATCATGCAGTGACTTGGGTTGCATCTGCTGGTAATCACGGACCAGCTTTATGCACTATTGGTGCTCCTCCAGATATTTCAAAAACCACGATTATAGGTAAAATTATATTTTTACCTTGTCGGCAGACCTTTAATGTTATTATTTATATTTTCAAGGAGTTGGAGCTTATGTATCACCAGATATGATGGCAACAGAATACTCCATGCTGCAAAAACTTGCAGGAACTACTTATACATGGTCCTCAAGAGGACCAACAATTGATGGTGGTAGAGGAGTAAGTGTATGTGCACCAGGTGGCGCAGTAACTTCTGTACCTGGATACATGCTAAGAGGATCACAGTTAATGAATGGCACAAGCATGTCTGCACCTCATGTGGCTGGAGCAACAGGTTGGTAATTCAGTTATTTAAAATGATTAACTTTTTAACAGGTATTACTTTTTTTTCAGCTGTATTAATATCTGGACTTAAAGAAAAAAATATTGATACCTGTCCCTATATGATTAAACGAGCAATGGAAAACACTGCATTGTATATTGATAAGATCGATCACTTTTCACAAGGACATGGTTTATTACAAGTATAAAATAGTTATAAAACCTAAAATATTTAAAATTATTTTTATTAAGTAGTTTAAAAGAAATTTTATAAAAAAAAATTATACTCAGAAATAGTAATATAAATATTTCATAAAAATATAATTTTTATAACTTCATAACTTAAAATTATAATCTATTTAACACTTATTCACAATTAATAATTTACATTAATAGACACTTCTATTTAATGTATTTGCTTAAGATATGTACATTGTATAAATTAAAAATAATATAAACAGTATTATAAAATTACTATTAATTATAAACTTATAGGTTGATAAAGCATTTGACTACTTAACTCAATACTACACTGAACAAGAATCATATGTTAAGTTTGTGGTGTCTTGTGGCGTCCTGGGTGGTTTTATCGGAAATAAAGGAATCCACATACGAAATGCAATTGAAAACAAAGAGGTTGACTGTGGCGTAACTGTGGAACCAGTCTTTTTAAATAATGCAGATGTTGGTAAGTTCTTCAGTTATTAAATTAAAAAGTAAAATTTTTGGAAACTAAAGGTCTAACACTAGTTTTTGAATTATTGTTATTCATGCAGTATTGGTTAAATAATTTCGGATTAACAAGATATAATAATTATAAGTATAAATAATTACTGTTTAGACTATATACTTAAATGCTTAAAATATCCTTCACATTCATATTTTGTTCCTTCTATTTTGTCCCACATCACTATCCAATTAATTCCATGAACTCGTTTACCTATAATAAAACAAAATTGAATCATTGAGTATGCAAATAATATGAACAAATAATAATAATATTCGGGAACCTTCATACAATTTATTGTTTTAACCCAACATTTCACATTGTGACAAGGGCTATGCGTAACCAAGCAAGGCAAAGGGTTACTGATAAGTTCCAACCACTTAGTTACTTATGAAATATAGTAGTATAGTCAGATTACAAGTTTGTTGAAAACAAAAAAAGTCATGTGCTATAAATTAGATCATGATTTATGTATATAGTAAACCGGAAAATATAATTAATATTGATGTTCAATTATAATTTACCAAAAATGATTAAATATAGTGTTCAATCAAATAGTGTCTAAACATGGGCGGATAGGCCATTTTTGGCCTACCAGGCAATTTTAAAAAGGGGCCCCACATAAAAAAAAGTTGCTCGCAAGTACAGTATTAGATTAATTATGTTACCTACAGTATCAAAACAAAACATTGGACGTGTATGATTTGTCTGTTATATTTGGCAATATTAACATCTAGAAAATCTATAAAATATATTATAACAACATCTATATTCCATTATCAATTGACAATTAAGTACATCTAATTATAAAAGTTGAGTGTTTAATTTAGGCTTTTACACTTTAAATAATGTTGAAAATTATAAATGTAATAGACACATTAAGAAACACAATTTGTATTTCAAAAATATTAGAAAATTTATTTGACAACCCCTACTTATTTTATACTGCTGATTGCTATTAAGTGTAAAAATTATACTAAGATACCTATAAAATATAGTTTCTTTTAGTTAATATTCTACATGAATACATGATTATATTACAATTATCGTAATAATTAATAAGCACCTATATTATATACTTAGTGATGGGCCGCAACTAATATAAACTAACGAATAATTATTCGATACCTAGTTTTTCCAAATAAGTTATTCGAATAATCGTTACGACAAATATTTGAATTATTATTCGAATATGTTTTCAAAAGCAAATTTGATCTAGTAAGTACTTTTGGTAGGTCAACATTAAAAATCCTCCAGTACTTTTAAAATAATTGGGAAAAAAAAGAAAATTTGTCAAAATTGTTTGGTAACCTTTCACTTCAATTGTATTTGATTAGTTTGAGTTTTTTTCCTACAAATATCAATAAAAAATTATTTGTCCGGTTAAAAAGATAAAAATGTAATAGGTATATACTATATAAGTTTTTATTATAGCTAAAATATTAACGATACATAGGAATGATTATTGTTTATAAGCATTTAAAGTTCAAATGTTGACAAAACCACAGTGTTAATTAATAATTTGTAGTTCAAAACTTAAAAAATATAAGATTATAATATAAAATAATAAAATTTTTCAAATTTGAAATTTCTTTTGTAATTATATAATATTAATGTGTCATTGCGTTAACCATAAAAAAGGCCCCATTCCCAAAATACGAAGGGGGGCCCACCGGGAAATGCCCGGTTGCCCGGTAGGCCTATCCGCCCATGTGTCTAAAGGACACACACTTACACATGTAAGACAGCAAACTTTCGTTCACTAGATCACTTTCAATAATGTGCTGTTTTTTTTGATACAAGAAGTTATGGTGACTAGTAGGTAAAATTATCTGCGTTCTCTCGTCGCAGAGAACTCAGATAATGTGCTTACCTATAAGTTTGATCTACTCTTAATGTTAAAACTAACAGTACACTATTGAACAATAATTTGCCATTGAATGTTTAAAATATTTTTACCATCAAGATTTTTCCGTACGATATCAGCATATTCGTGACGAATAAATTTTATTCTTGCGCAAGTGTTATTTTTCTTTATAAATACAATATTATTTGGTGTAACATGTTGACACAAAATGTTCCATATATCTTCTTCTGTTGTGTGGACATTCATGTTCCTAATATGTAGTTGTTTCATCTGAAAAATACAATTTTAACTATTATAAAAAAAAAAAATTGTTTATCATACTTGATACTTACTCTTATCAAAACAGAGTGTCGAAATACTGGTTCAGATTCTGCCCACTGAATTTTAATGGAAACACCATTGATAAAAAATGGACTTTCTGCCATTGAGCGGCGAGCTAAAGCAGCACTTCTATGATCTTTGAATATTACGAAACAAAACTCTCTATTTTTGCTAGGATCATCTGTATTATTAAAAACACGCACTTTCTTTACACCTTCTACACGTTTTTCAAATTCTGTTTGTAATTGTTCTTCAGATAAATCCATAGGTATGTTCCTGGCAAATAATGTCCTATTATCAGTAGACATGCTCACCAATAAGTGACCCCTGATACCAGGAAGAGTAAGTTCATTCAGTTTAGCAAGCGCTATCTCGGCTTCCATAGGGCTACTCATCATTACATAACCATATCCTCGATTTGAACCAGAGAAATGCATCATTAAGCGAATTTGATGAATGGTTCCAAACTAATGAATCAACAATTTAGTTTTTGTAATTAATTGGAAATAAATAGATATTACTATTACCTGTGAAAAAATAGCATAGAGAAATCCTTCCAAACAAGCTTTTGGTAATGCAACATATAGCTCACTGCCACGTTTTGGTTCTTGTTTTATTGTTGACAATAGTGTTTTTTGACCATTATTTTGAATAACATGTCTTTTATCAACTGAAATTAAACGCTGACCAATTTCTTCTATTTCAATCAAATTTTTTGCTCTAGCAATAGCAGCGCTTATCAAATCTTCACGTGTAGGCTATAAAAATAAAATTTATTTCAATATATTCACTGGATAAACAGACAAATAGATAATGCTTACAATATATTGGTCTCGAATTATTGAAGGAAATTTGAATACATTGTCATTTCCATTTGCAAATGGTTCTGAAGTCTGAGAGGGTGGAGTGTAAGGCGATGACACTGGTGAAAATGATGATTGTGAATAACTTGATGTACTGGACATGTATGACGATTGAGAATATGGTGATGGATACCGAGGTATAGGCGTAGGCTGAAATTAAAACATAGCTCAATTTAAATGTAATTATACAAGTATTTTGTTCATAAGTAAAATTGTAGTTATTTAGGTTTACTAAATAATATTGACACATTTCAACTAATGAAATAAAATTTTATATATATAAGTATTAAATATAATAAAAATAGTAAGATTTGAATGAGTTACAATTATAATTATTTTGAATACAAACCGTGTAGTAATCGCAGTATACAACATTGTTTTGAGGTGCACAATACATTTCCATTTTCATATAGAAATTTTACAATTTCCAGATAGCGACTAAATTCTAAATATAACAATAAAAAATATAATTACTAATTATTTTAAACCAGTGCTATAGTTAGAATTATTATTGATTCTCATTCTTATATAGACTACTTTATATAATTAAGATGCACAAGGCAGATTGGAATACCCAAAATGAATTTCGTTTTTCGTTGTTTTTAAAAAAAAATATGGGGCATTAAATGACACAATAGCAGAAATAAATAAGGGCATGTACCCAGTTGCCACCTGAAGTACCTTTTTTTATACCAAATCCCCCCAAACTACCTAGAGGAAAAAGTACCAGTTGCCCTCACATGTTAATATATACATAAATACAATATATAGCTCGTAAAATAAGGGAGGTATATATACAAATCATAAATAAAATTCAAAATTATAATAATTTGTTAATATAAAATAGTACAAAATCAAAATATAATAATTTGTCAACATATAAATAGTATAAAATTCAAAAGTATTGTTTTGTTATAATAATTACTAACCGATTTTACAAAATCTAATCTGCTAATATTTTTGTTTTTATATTTATTTTATCGGATACAATAATTGACGGATTGAATTCAAGTTCAAAGCCAGAGCATTTTTCTTTTAACATACTAAATAACAATTCATACGTTTTCGATGATTATATCCACACACGTATTTAAAATGTTATGTTGACAAATTATTATAATTTTGAATTTTATATTTTATTTATGATTTGTATATTTACCTCCCCTATTTTACGAGCTATATATTGTATTGTGTATATATTAACATGTGAGGGTAACTGGTACGTTCAATTAGTGGCAACTGGTATATTTTTAAAATCGCGATAATAGCTTTGGGGGGCAACTGGTAAACACCCATAAATAAAAATGAAGTTTCATTATAAAGGACGCTATATCCGCATGTATTGTCTCCGTCTTACAAGAGCGTAACATATCAAAATGTTACGTTCAGTAGATCACGTTTAGCTCAGTTAGCTTAAAAATTGGAGTGAATTATGACCTCTTAATAAAATTAAAGGGAATATTATTACGGAGGGCTTCTCGTGGGCTTTTTATTATATTTAAATTTTGAAGAGTATTTAAAAATTGTAAATTGTTTGTACAAATTACTTATCTCTTTTTAAAATTAAAATATAATAAAAAGCCCATGAACAAGCTCTCAGTAATAATCGTACCTTTAATTTTAATAAGAGGCCAATTCACTCTAATTTTTAAGGTAACCGAGCTAAACGTGATCTGCTGAACGTAAAATTTTATATGTTTCGCTTTTTTAAGACGGAGACAACACATGCGGTATAACGTCCTCTTAACGATAAACATTTATCGGTTTTGTTGGTGCTATATTATTCAGGAAATAAAAAAAAACGTATTGTTATTGCACCGAAGCAAAGCAATATGCCGTACTTTTAAAATAAATATTTATAGAAATACCGATGTCTAAATTAGAATATCGTAATATTTGATTCTGTTTCTCATATATGCTTTAGCAACAATTATTAAGTTGATAAGTAAAATAAGGTAGGCAATATAATTATTTTAGAATTTATGATATTAATATACCGAATCGGAATAAATTAAGTTTGTCAAAAGGCTAATCCGGCCTAAAAATAATATGACGGAGAAGCACCTCAAAAATACCTACCTAGTTACCTATTGTTATTGTGCACAATGATTAACTTTGAAGTAAAAAATAAATAATGAGATAAATGTAAAAATACACATCCAGATATAATTATAGCTCGAAATGTTCTTTGGTGTATATACTTGGCGTGGCCATAATTATTTTACACCGAAATACGATTTCTAAGAGATTGGGTTTAATTTAGATTTCTTATCAATTTTTTTTTACTTAACCACTGTCGCCCGTCAGAATACAATGGAAAATTTAAGTAACACGTTTTGTGTTTACTAATTAAATGTGTCAGTTTATTTAAGAAATGTTATAAATAATGTATAAATGGGCTGGTGTATTGTTTAATTTCAAAACTCATAATAGTTAATTTATAAAATATTATAACCTAATACGGTACGAGTAATTACCAATAAATAACATACGTAATTGTATTATGTTGAATTTTAATTTAAATGACAAAAACTACTTATTGTGTGCTCACATAATACAAGAACATAAATAACAGAGTTCTACAAATTTACGGGTAACCAAAATATGTAAATAAAAAAAATGGATATAATTGTTAAAATCTCAATAAATGATTAATAGATTCCGAACAGACACCATTTAAAAAAAAAAATTGGAATTTAATAATTCGTTCTAAATGAATATGGCGACAAAACGGTAGTTGACGTTTTATACAATATATTATTATTAGATTGGTCAAAAAGTTATGACTAAAATTTAATTAAATCGCAGTTCATGCGGCGACCCATTAGAGCTAAAACCAACGAGGCCACTACTTGCGTAACTACAAAAAAATAAATAAATAAATCACTTGCCTTGCGGTCCAGAAAAATGCCAACGGAACACAATCGACGATGATCGAACAGATACTAATTTAAAATAATATCCTATAAATGGACATATAATATAGTGGTGGATGTGGATCGCGACGTAATAACAAATCAGGCACCGGTCCTCTTCTTTAATGATATTGAAAGACGTTTTGCACAGTTAAAGTAAAAGGTGCAAACTAATAAAAACGATCTGCGTATGACGTTCTGGAAACCCTCGGAGGAGACAGAAAACGTGTTGCGAAGAAAACTTGGACCGCCGTCGAGTTCGGACTTCGGAGTGAACAGTGACCGACTGACGCGCGTGATGGTCGATGGAGTAATGATAAATGATTCGTGAATCGTGATCAAACGGAAACTCCGCGCGACGGTCGGCACGCGCGATCCTATGCGTCGTTTTTGTTTTCGTCGTCGGCGGCGGTGGTTGTCGTAGACCGTAGTCGGTTTTCCACGAACCGACGACAACAACAATATTATAATTGAATAATATTGAAATATTTATCGAAGCCCGTTTTATTATACACGTTTGGAGTATGATATTGTTATTATTATGATTAATACGGTGCATTACGCCGTATAATATAATACCGTTTTCATTGTTGGCATTTTCAGAACACACACGGCCGAGAATCGTCTTATGGTTACAAGGTGGGTGGGGGGTGTTGGCCGTTCGACGATCGTCGGGGGATGGTCGATTAGATTATTGTCCTCCACTTTCCTCAACGAAAGTGAATTCGTCGTTTTTTAAAATTGTAAATTACGTATGTGTGATACTTTGATTTGTCTCGGATCACGTGACATCACGAGTAGTAGGGTATTCTTGTATCGCTGTATCGCGTTTAAATTACTTGACTATTGGTTTTTATTTACCATGGCAGAGTTATGACCGAACGACAGTTACAATTAAATAAGCGAATATTTTTTTTTAGAATGCGCATATTTTGCCCTTTTCTCTCCAGGCGTACATGACACATCGAAGACAGCCGTGCTTTCCTATTGGAAATGATTGCGCGTACTTGGAATTGTCTAAAATTTGTGTCTTCTATTTATACAAACATAATTATTACATTTCATGGAAAACTGTTAGGTATGAATTTTATTCGAGTCTACCGAATACCAATATTTACGAGGATATTTACATGCCGTGTTGAACTTATTACAAATAATAAATTGTCAAGTGTCAACAATTCCAATACTCAATAGAATAGTATATTAAATTCATTAATAATATCCTAAATATAAAATATTTTATTCGATGACCGGATACGAGTGTTCGACGTGAAATTGTTTTGAATAATATCTAAAAATAACATGCAATTGTCTACAATACAGGTTTTTATATTAGGCATAAAAATAACACGTTCAATCTGCGTCGTAGTATTCAGCCTTATCGAAGGAGAGTGGAAAAAACAATATTTAACTTCTTTTGGAAAAGTGACTAAAGCCTCGTTCACACGGTGACAGTTGCATGACACCAGTGTCGTAATATCAACGAAATTAGATATACGACACTAGTGTCACGACACACAATATCATTAGTGTCATACTCATTAGTGTCACCGTGTGAACGAGGCTTAAGACATGATGTGTGATCTAAAATCTTAATCTTACAGATGGACATCAAAAAATATGAGTTCACTAGAAATAATTTTGTGTGATCAGTTTTAATATTACAATATTAGACCGAATGTATCTACTATAACATTTAAAAAATTAAAAATTAATTGTTTGAAATTTTGCATGTTAATATTTTACGGAATTTGAATTTAAATTTATTAAGTTACGAAATGTTAAATACAACAATTTTAAAATGCTTTTAACTCGCTTAAAAATTAAAAACCAAGTTACAAAAATGGAAATACCTAACCGTCCAAACCTGAATTTATTATTGTTAATTGTTACACTTATATTGTACATATTTGTACGGTTTGTAAAGAGTAAAGACGAAGCAACGCATACACACGAACCGCACTACCGCACTAGTCTACTGATTACACAATAGAAATTATTGTTGATTTCATACGAAAATAATTTTGTTCCAATAATTTTGTGCTCGATATTATCGCGAAACACTGTTGTTTATTTTCGAGCGTAATAGGTACTCACTACTCGGTATATTAATTTAACGACGATGTTTACCTACGAGAAAGGAAAAACGCTGGAAATTTAATTCGGGTTTTCAACTGTAAACACACTCATAAAAATAATTGTAGCTCTCAGAAAAACGTTTTCCGTTGGACTATTTCCATGGAACTCGGTTAACACTAAAGTGTTTGAGATATAAAGTCAAGAACTGGGTATGCGCGTCCCGCCTGTGGACGTGTACATCAAAATGTCTGTGTTGAATTCAAACATTTAATCAACGAGAAAAAAGCCACAACCTCACTATATAATTATACACGAAAGAGTTAAATATCACCAAAATACATTAATTAAATTGTTAGCTTCCAAAAATCTTAATAATTAATACGGTTAAAAAGGTGATGACCAAATGTCCATTTCTGTTCAATTAACCTGTCGGGTGGTACAACAGCTGGGTATACTGTAAACTATTTTTGTCCAAAATTATTATTGTGCGTAATAAACTTGTATAAATAATATAAATTATAATTATTAAAAAACATGTGTGTGATTGATGTGTAGTGTGTATTATATTATTATTTATTAATTATTATATTACTAGTTGATATGGTAAAAACCCTTTAAAAAACATTGATTTGATTTTGCATATAATTGAATAAATCGATATTCAATATCATACAGAAATAAATAGAATAATAGATCGTCATCGTTCTAGTGCCTGTATAAAATTCACATAATTTATTTGATTATAGTGGGGCACATTATTACTTATTTGTTTATTACATAAGTCCAATTTCCAAAATAGAAAAGTGAATAAAAATTGTTTTATTTATTTTTAGCATTTATTGTGACTTATGTATAATGTACCTGAACATTATTATGTGTAAAATACAAATGGTGTTAATTTTATGCCTTAGTAATCAATATTGTTTTCGATGGGAAATAGACCGTGTACAGAGTTGTCTGAGTTAGTTTTTCTGTAGGAAATCAAAATCATTGTTATTCGTCTTAAATCGCAATGTTTTACGTCTTTTTATCGTTACAGATGCTGAAAAAAAAATTAATTTCCAAATGAGCTTGTGCTTGACGAGTGATGTTTCTTGGGTTAGTGTACCGAAATATCTGGAACTGATGTACATGACACGCAATTTCAACATAAAAGTTGATCCCAGTGGATTGTCTCCAGGAGTGCACACGACTACGTAAGTTATGAGTAAAGCTAGGATATTGGTGACTTGCTTTTTTTTCTTTAAGTGCTTTACAGTTCTAACCAAAAACAAAATTTGTTTCGTGATACAACAATTTAGAATGTGTAATTTATATTGTGCATTTTTTGTGTCGAATGCATTTTATTGCATTTTTAAGCTCATTTTTACTTATATTAGTATATTACGTTCATTTTGTGTATTTAAACAAATTTTTGTTTATATTAAGTTTTTTTAATATGTGTTGTATAGATAATCTCAATTAGTACCTATAGTACTCCTATAAAAATAGTACCTTTGAACTTATATCGACACCATAATATTATCGCTATTATACCCGTTTCGATAAAATTATTGTCACCTGTCGGCGAATGGGGAGAATTTAAACTATATTAATAAAAAAACATTAAAAATATTTTTAAACTGGTATATTTGTCGGCGAATTGGGATTTGGCAAAGTGGGTGTGAATCGAAAAAGTAATATAATTACTTAAACTCACAAGTTAACTCAAATTTGAATATATTTGTTTAATTAACTTCTTAAGATAATTTTTTACCTTTTTTGTGTAATATAAAAAATGCATAAATAATAATTAATCATTAATAATAATATTTATTTTAAAATTAAATTTTTTTTGCTCATCTAAGTACATTTTTTGGTCATTTTCTAAGTTCAAATTTTAGGGTTTTTAGGTCACTTGCATTTTTTCTAGTGCATTTTCGTGTATTTTATTTGTGTATTATTAGCTCTAGACATGAGACTATTACTATATAATATATTATACAATCATAAGTGTCGAGGAGTGAGGACACGGGATTTGGTATTTGTAAATTTGTTGCCCTGTATAATATTTTAAATAGTTGTAATACGATTTTATATTTTTATTAGTTTTACGTATGTCCAATTATACTCCTATGTATAATTTCTAGTATTTCTAGCATAGTAACTGGTTTTTCTAACTAGGTTTATTCAATAGTTTTTATTAATTTATTATAGCTAATAATATTTATTAGTATCTTTGACTGGTATTTATATTTTTACATTATGGTGTATCGCATGACTGAACATACAAATATAATATAGTATATTTGTATAATATACTAATATATAAATATGTTTTGCCATGTTGGATCGCGTATAGACAGATTTCTAATTTTATAAATAGCCAATAATACGAGCGATAATATTGAGAAATACCAAATAACTACATTCGCTACTACGCAATGAAAAAGGCACGGTGGTGGACTGGGGAATTACCTATATTGCTTAAAGAAAAACGACGGTTCATTAAATTAACAAACATTATTTTTTTGTAAAAGAGTTGGTTAAAATATTAACTCATCGTAATGCGAACTGCCTAGACTAACTAATAAGTAATATTATGTCTGATTATTATAGTCTAAATTAATTTTTTTTCAGCGTGAGGGCTTATGATGTTAAAAATACAGCAAAAGGCCCGGTGTTTACCTTTGAAGTCACTGTTGTCCGACCAGTGAAAACCGATGATTCAGGTTCATTGTCTTATGACAACGTCAATTTCAACCCAAATTCCCTAATAAAAAGGAATTTCGTGCTAGTGCCCAATAAGGTGACATGGGCCAGTAAGTCAAATTATAATATTATTACAATAATATTACGATTATTTATAAAGTTTTCCTATTCAAAATCAAAATCGTGTTTTCATATTTGCAGCTCTCCACATAAAACATCTCGATACCGACGTCAACGCTAATTTCTGCCTGCATACCGTCCAATTGTTGCCTCAAAAATCGTGCAAATTCATGGAGTATTGCAAGATATTTAACATGAAGTCTAATGAATTCCAAGCTCACTTCCCCGTTGAGGTATGTTTTGTCTTCGTCAATATTGTTATCATGAGTCGTGACAACATCATAAAGTACATAAAATATAAATATAGCGTGATTTAGAATCTATAATTATTATTGTACTGATGGCGTGGAAGTAAAATAAATGTTACTCTCTTGTGTAGATTAAAACATAATTAAAATATTATTATGTGATATTTAAACTATGTAAGTATAACAGTTACATTAAAGTATGTTTCTGGGTTTACTGTTTAGTGTTTTGTAATTTGTATTACATATATAAATAGATCAATATCATTATAATTTAATTTATATTTTATAATCATTGACGGATATTGTCGTTATGCAAGTAAAGCTAAAAATATATTGTGGGAAAAAATTTAATTTTTATAAAAAAAACTATTAAACAATGTGTTTTAAATTTAAAAAAACTGTATACAGATTACTGATTTGAATCAAAATGTAGTCCAGATATTATAGTATTACGTAATGAAATACAATTTTAACTAAATCTTTCAAAGAAATTCTCATTGCGATGTATTTTATAGTTACTACGTATCAATATAATTTTCAGGTAAATTGCAAATGATTCTTACTAATAAATAAAATCTTTAAAGTAATCATCTTATTATAAATTCTTCGAACGCCGTTGAGTGGATTTTATCCAAAAACGATTTTTTCTAAATATTCGAAGAACAAATTATCAATTTCCAGTTTCCTCTTAAGTCTAAAGTACACTTCTGTGTCCTGTTACAAAAATGAATTAATTTATTACATTTTAATCATACCGAAAATAACAGATCTGCTGGCGGCTGTCGATTTAATAATTGGAGATTCAATTATATTGTTAAGCACCAAGGTAACTTTTCTAAGAAAAACGTCACAGATCATTTAACACTGATTGTTATCAAAATTCAATAGCGACAAATCATGAATATCGTTAAAATGTAAACATAATTTATGGAGCTTTTAAAATCTTCAACAAAGTTGTTGGTATACAAGATGTACAGCGTATTCATTTTATAATTTAATACTATTGTTTTATACACAATATTATAAAACCAATGATTTATAGGTTTTTATTTATATAGTATAATATACTCAAATCTAATATTTTAGAGTTATAAATGGTCACTACTTATTCAATTTCAAATTAGCAACTTTTAAAAGTACCTACTTTATAATAGTATAATATGAAGTACCTAAGTTACAGTAACACTGTATTGATGCAATACCTATGTCTTAAGTATTCGTAACTGGTAACTCTTTATGTAATATGTACCGACTACTTAGTGTCCTAACTCCTAGTACCTACTTTATATCTACTATTGTAAGTAATAGTATTAACTATCTCGGTTAAATATGTTGACTTATCCATCCACAATTTTAGGTGGTTCAAATGCACCACCTTAGGTGCATACTCGGCGCCACTGCTCGATATAATTAAATACAATTGATTTTTATTGTTAAAAGCCCCAATTAAAAATTATTTGTTATTTTTCTCATAGCTATCATTAAGAATATTAATACTATTATATTATTATTTTCATATTCATCGAATATCACTTAAAATCTATAATATATACATTTATACATAACGATTTAATGGTATTTTGGTGTCATACTTACTTTGTATAGACACATATGATACACACACATTTTGGCAATCTAGTTTTTAATTTAATTTTATTTTATTTTATTACCGAGTTATTACTTATTAGTGTTCTGTAGACTGTAGTCTGTTGTACCATTAAATAAAATATTATTTAAAATTTTAAAATTAATTTTTTCTCTGGTTGAAACTCTAGTAATAGACGAGGAAATGACGTTATTATAATATGGTTTTGTGTGCAGACAATATTGAATATAACATTTATATAAACATAGGTATATAGCCATAGTCTTTACTCTTTTCACTCTTTAAATCTTACAAAAGTATTCATCAATGATTAGAGAGCAGGGTTAGTAGGGTTGGTTAGCAGCGAGTCAAACTTTTTGGAACATTGGTTTTGAACATCAACAATATTAATATATAAAAGATAAAAACTAAATAATTCTCAAAAATTGTTTTTAGACCTGTCATATAAGTTATAATGAAGTATATCAATATGAGACCATCCGACTTTTGGGGCCAAATGCACACTTGCATAAGTCCTGAATTTGATATTGTTTTGTAAAATCATGGAAATAATTTTTTTTTAATCACATTTTTATCTTTTGCATAAGAACTCATAGCTTTATTTAGTTCAGATATCTTAAATACAACCAAGGGACATACACTCATACATACCTTTGTTAGTGGGTAGTGTTAGTATGTACCTATTGAATACTTTTAATCTTCAATATTCATAAATTTAGATGCAATTAGTAATATTGTATTCCACAAATATCTTTATAGTTATTTGAAATTTGAACCACCGTATAATGTATTATGTATTTATATTTAAAGTTTTTAATTTTAATAGGAAAATGTGGTATTAGAGTTGGCATTGGCAAAATATTGGTCAAGTTATTCAAATATAATATTATCATACAAAATACAATTTCATGGCGTCATACCTCAGTCGAAAAACGTTGCGATGTATCACGGAATGGGTTTACAGTCATTGATATTGAAGCCTGGTGTAAAGAATGAAGAAATCCAACCATCTGCTTCTTTGAAACATCTTATTACCGTTCTTAAGTATGCTTATAAATTTATATATATTCTACTTAGTACTTTACACAGCATAACATTATTCTATTGTACTTGTGAGATGTGAGTTATGAGTTCTATACTCATATGTAATAATAATGATTGGGTTTTTAACAGATTTTAATTTAAAATTATTTACCGTGTATTAAGCTGCCACAGTGGTTCTTCTTAATAATGAAATAATTGTTCATTTTGTCAAATAAAATCGTATTTTTGCATTTTTATGTAATCCAGTAACAACATAATACTTTTGTATAATTCATTATTATTTTTGAATATTCTTATTTTTTGTAATTTGTCAATTTAAAGTGCCAATGTAGGCTCTAATAATTAATCAATTGATGTAAACATTTTTAGACCACAGGAAGGAAAAGTCACTGCATTAACTTATCGTGATGTCATTCCACCACAAAGACCAATCTACCAATTAAATTTATCTTATGCCTTTTCTTTGCCAAAATCGACGGAAGCATATGCAACTTGCGGTTTATTTGGTGAACTTTTGTATGAGAGTGAATATGAATCACAATTATGGATGTTGTTTGATTCAAATAAACAGTACATTGCTGCAGGCGATGCATATTCTAGTAGAGTATGAAATTTTACTATACATTTTCAAACCAACAAAATTATTTTGTTATGTACTAATTACATATACTAATTACATTGTTTATTTTTGCGTTTATAGCATGTGTATAAACTTGATAAAGGTGATTACACTATTAAAATGCATGTACGTCATGAACGGCGAGAGTTATTAGACAAAATTATTGACCTGCCTATACAAGTGGTTCAAAAATTACAAAGCCAAATAAACTTGGATGTATACAATAATCATCATCAAGCCACAATTTTTGGAAAAAAATCTTCGAGTTTTATTATGACTCCTAATAGTCCTTTGTGCAACCTGAATATCGGACCACTTTCAAACGATAAGTATGTGTACAGTAATATTATCAAACTATAGTCAAATTTACACACTTTTTTTTTCAGAATCGTTTCATTGAAGTTATTGGCTGGACACTGTCTGACTGGAAATATAGTATATGCTAAAGATGAAAATGGAAAGAAAGTTGTGAGTATTTATTTAATTGATTTGATATAAATATTTATATGATGTTAAGTGTTAGAAGTTTAAGTTACTCCTAATCAATAATTTAAAATAATTTCATAATAATAATGTTGAATAAAGTGTTACGAGTAGGTCAAGAAATTCTATGTAAATACCCATCTTTTATTAAACTTTTGATTTAGTTATAATCGTCAATGAATGGATCATATCAATTGTATTATGTGATTATAATAATCAAGTACAAATTTATTTTTAAATAAATGTATGTTTAGGATACCTACGATTTAAAGTACTTCATAACAGATACGCTTAAAACAAAGAATGGACCAAAACCGCTTGAAGATTTTAAAACAAAGTTTGAAGAATTCAATGAAGCTTTATGTGAAACCAAATTAAATTGGTTAACCAAATTAGGTATGTTTTGACTAATAAATAAATATGTTTATTATAATGCACTATACAATATGTGTATTAAAAATAATAAAGATTATATACTAATTTATATGTTATAATCTGTTAGAGTACGGGGAAGATTCCATAAGCTTGTATAACAGTTTATGTGAAGAAGTTGGAGATAAAAATTCTTCTGTTCATATATCATGGATACAATGTATTGAACCAGAAGATAAAAAAAGATTCCCTGATTTTTCAATTCCTGACTTTGATGTAGAAAAAGTAAATCTTATAATCGCTGCTGCTGATCGTGCTCTGTCTATTATAAATACACCTGATCTTCTTGCATTTTATGGAATTAAGTCTGATCAAAGACCTGAAGCTTCTAAACTTAAAATGTAATATATTTGTGTATTTTTAAAATCAAATCTCAACTATTTACATATTTCAGAGTTCATGATCGTTTAAAAACTACTGTGATTGAAGCATTATGTCGCAAAGGTGCAGCATTGTGCCAATTGTATTATTATAACAATGTGATGACTAAAAAAAGTGATGACAATGTCTTACAGGACATCGATACCATTTTGCAACAAGTTTCCTGGTTTATTTCTCCAGATTCTGATTCTAAAGTATGTTAAATTTTAAAATAATAATTTTTTATTTGATTCTAAATTTATGATTTTATTTCAGAGTTTGAATTATTTTAATATTTGGCATGGAGCAGTATATCAAAATTATGGACGTATGATGAAAGTACTTTTGAGGATGTTGGAGGATAAACATGTTAAAGAAGTTGAAAGTTGTTTGTTGTGGACTATTAATGTTAAGTTTGGGGCTGATGAATCCAAACACTTAGTAACTGCTATTTCAAATGCATTAATTGTTCATTATCCAAAAACTTTCCGTCCATTTTAATATAAGTTAATTTTTTAATAGATTACGGTTACATTCTACAGTATACCGTATGCATATATAAAGTTTACTAAATATATTATTTATAATATTGTGTTTTCAAAACAAAAAAGTAATCTAAATAACATTTTTCATTTTTAATAAAATTATATTCATTCATTCTTTAATTATTGTTTATTTTTGTTGTAAGTTATACTGGTTAGCTTAAAGAATTTAAGGATAGTAATTTGTCTAGTAGATAATGTAAAATAATAAATATCGAATTGTGAATGTCGATGGTTCATGAAAAATAATGGTGGCAGACATTTTCTTTTCTTGAATTTGAAGGTTCAAATTACTTTTGATTTAGCATAATATTAATATTCTAATTTTTAAATTAATTATCTTATTAGTAAGTTTTATTAACAATTGGTAATTACTTATTTGTAATCATGATATATTATTTTGAAACTTGTGTCCACTAAGTACTAACCTTTAATCTCTTCTATGGTACTAACTATACTGTTCAAAATAAGATCATTACCAGGCGGCTACTAGTTTTTGTCGGACGGCGGTCAGACGCATTGTTAGACACTTCCCCTACCAAGTCGATGGCAAGACCAGTGATTTGGAAGAAAGCCCAACTTGGTCTCCAGGTAATGATCTTATTTTGAACAGAGTATAGTAACTATGAACAGTTTTGGCACACAATAGATGATTTCATCTATTCTGTGGTTTTGGATTGAAAATTGTTCATGTACATTAAGGACAAATTTATTGATAGTCAACAACTGGTAAGATGGTAGTATATTTTACATTATTAAATTAAATGTTTATTAGCTGAATAGGTATCAAATCATTCCATTGTCAATATTTGTGTGATCAAAATAGAGTTTAGATTATGTCACATTATGAAAGTTGGGACTATCTATAGGTGTATACAATTGTATTAAATTACAAACAAATAATGAACTTCATCTTTTAATTATCTTTATTGTAAATTCAAAATTTAACACAAATAACTAACTTATAGAGTAACTTTTTCAAGTGTATCGGCATACTGAAAATCTGGGCAGTTTTCATATTCACACATATCTAATGCAACTTCACAACTTTCTTTGACGACTACCTTCTGGTCATTTATATACTGTTTTAATATATCATAGCAGTCATCTGTTGCAATTGCTCCTAATGCTTCTGCGCACTCATGTCGGACCATATCATTTTGATTTTCATCTATTAATGATTCTTTTAGATATGGTACACTAAGCGGTGATTGTAATTGTCCCAAAACGAATGCTATTTCATGTTTAAACAATGCACTTCCACACGACAACGCTAAATTCAAATATTAAATATTCATTATTAATATTTTTCCTAATGTAATACATTTAAAATATGTACCTATATATATTTAATTACCTTTAGAAAGAATAGTGATACTTTCAGGTGATGCAATGTCTCGTAGTGAAAACATTGCTTTATACCTATTGAAGAGGCTTTCGTTTTCATCAGTTAGAATTTGTTCAAGTTCTTCTATGCTTTTTATCTCTGAAGGAGGTGCTGGATCTACAGATCCATAAATATTTTCAATGTTTGCTTCATCTTTAGGTAGTAAAAGTCGTCCTAAAGCCAATTGACAGGTCTCTGCTAGTTCTACCACAGGGTCATTTTTATATTCTTCCAAAATTGGTATAACATTTTCCTTACCAATTGCTCCCAGTGCTTCAGCTTAACATAAATACATCAAATGTTTTAACATACAAGTATTTTAAACTAATGATTTTGTACAAACTAGACTTGTGTGTTGCATGTTGGATACTTATTAAAAATGCAAACTACTTTACATCATTTTGAAAAAAGCATGTCACAATACAAGTACATAAGTCAGTGTTTATTTTTAAATCATTTATTATAATACCTGCTTCATGTCGAACCATAGGCTCTTGTTTGACATCTTTAAGTACATCGATTAAATAAGGAATAGAATATTCGTCTCTCATTTGTCCTAAGCAATATGCCAATTCATGCTTCAGCAAACATGAATCATCATTGAAACACTTGGCTATATTTTCTATGGCTATATTTCCACCTAAGTTTTTGAGTGTAAACAGTGCTCTGAATCGTTCTTTCATCGGTAACTTTGTGTTAGCTAATACTGTTCCTATACGATTGATGGATTCTTCTGAAGCAGCGACCATATTGACAATAGTAATGAATAAATTGACAAGTATATTTATTTGAACAAAATATTTTGAAAAAAATGTACTTCTTAAAGTTAATTACTCAATAGTCAATAGTAAAAGAATATAGAATAGTTATTGGTTATTAATATGGTGCAACAGATACTTAAATCGGTAATCAATGAATATTGAAATATTGAATATTAAATAATTCCTATGAATGATAATAGATGAAATCATGTAATCAACCACGTTGACGTCTTGTAAAAAAAAAAAAATGGAAAATCCCTTTATCGAAAATTAAGCTATAGTTCGCAATGTTGGTAATATTCATTTATTGATTTTTTGATTTAATTTCTTATTTTCTATAGCTTTTTGGGTTTATACATTTATATGAACTTTAAACATACTATAAACATTTTTAGTTAGAATGGAATTTAAACAAGAATAAGGGAGTCCATTTATTTTCATTAAATATTTGGTATTTGCAGCATTACCTGAAAAATAGTTAGAAAATTTTTTTTATCTAACTTTCAAAAATTAACTTTTGGGTGTGTCCGTCTCATATCAGTTCAGATGTTATCGAAAACAAATGATCATACTGTTAACAAGGTCTCTTTCGGTTAAGGCGTGTTCCAGTCCAGAAAGTGTCTATTTTAATTAATTACATTTTCTACTTTAAGTTACTTTATCCACTTAAGAGTAAGTATACCAGAGGTTCGTCCTATTTTTTTACTGATTTATTTACCTACCCATTATTTGTACACAAATTTTGGATTATTCAATTCAGTAGTCTTAGTATTGGCCCTGCCCATTTTTTCTGATCCATTCCATTAATGTTATGTTTTTTGATTGATTTAGGTACTAAGTCATTTTGTGCATAATTTAATTTACTGTATCTTATTACGATGTCGGAATATTGGCTGATATCTGCTCCTGGAGACAAGACTTGCCAACAGACCTGGGAAACCCTCAACAATGTTACTAGCAAGCAGAATAGTTTGTCCATCAATTACAAATTTCACATACCTGACTTGAAAGTGGGCACTTTGGATCAGTTAGTGGGATTGTCTGATGATTTGGGAAAATTGGATAGTTTTGTTGATCAAGTTACCCATAAGGTGGCATCTTACTTGGGGGAGGTACTGGAAGATCAACGAGACAAACTGCAAGAGAACTTGATGGCCAATAATGGTATGTATTATATAGAATGTTTTTTTTCATCCCATTGAATAACAATGACGAAAATCCAATGTAGCTCAAGTGACTTGTCTCTGTAGTGTACTTACCTGTCCTACTTACTTTTTTGAAACATTATTATTTATATCCTGGATTTTTATTGGTCATTTTAGTTAAGTATTTCCTTTACCCTTGCATCCATGTGTCAATATTAATATATATATATATATATTTATAACTTTTATACTATTAACTTATATTTTGTCATCCATAATGGAAAAACATTTTAAGCTAAAAAGGCCAAAAAAAAAAAATACATATATTTATAGAATCCAAAATGCACTATACTTTATTTTATTAGAAATATAATATTAATATTTGATACTATTATTATAGTATGATTAAGTTAATTTAATTTTTCTACAAGATGCCAAAATTAAAAACTAATGCATCCTATAGACGGTTGCGTGTGTGCGTGTTCACAGTCAATTTTTCCTTTATTGTGATCATAATTTTTAGAGCACAAATTTTAAAGTAAAAAATTATGAATATTCCATCGATTTGTCTTCTATAGCATTTTAATAACTAAACATTTTTGGAACCTTCACACTCATCTGTTCTGAAAAATGTTATGTTTATCACATATTTTTATACTTAAATATAATATATAATATATATATATATTATTAATTACACCAAAGTGTTTCAATTAATTTCAATAGAAGTTTAAAATAATTTTTATGCACATTCAAAAAATAATAAATATATTTGGTTTTCAAAATATATTTTATTTTTATTTATCGTGTAGCTTATGTAATTGGTAGTTCTTCTTTTGATGGACCAAAATACAAATTAATAATTGTATTGTCATTTGTAATAAATCATAATAACTTATTACAAAATTAAAATAGTAAAAAATATATATAAATTATTTGTTATAATTTTTTTTTCTATTGGCCCTTTGATTTTAAAATATAGAATGTTATAATATTTTATTTTCCACAAAATTAATAGTTTAGCATCTTAACTACCCCATTTTAATTAATTTAAAAATAGTAAGTTTTTCTCATCCAACTGATATTGGTTGATAATGTTGAGCACGGCTATTTAAATAAATTAGTTAAATGAAAATGAATAGTAAATATATCATTACACTATATAGTATCTAAACATTACATGTTAAAATACAGTAGGTATTTTAACTAATTCATATTTTAGGAATAAAATGTTGCTTAGTCTAGAAATCTATTGCAGTTACTTCTAAATTTTCTACTTAAAATATATCATGTATTACATGTGATCCTAGTCCGTAAAACTAGATAGAATTTTAGAGAAATGCCCATTTAGGTTAGGTTTATATTGGTCTACACATAGTGCCATGTAGCCATATTAAGTTAGAGAGATAGGCCTATGACTTTTTTTCTGTTGGCGATTGCAAAAAGTAAAAGCTTTGTTATGGGTTTGTTGTGTGTGGCGTTGGACACAGCATTGTCTTGAGAGTCGTGGGCCGTGTGCTGGGAAGAGCCCGCCTTGAGCTATTCAAAGTCCAGATGGCCGACAGGCGTGTGTCTAACGTCCCAAGGTAAGCGGCTGCTTTTAGTAGGATGCTTCATGCAGTGTTGGCTTGTGGTTTCATTTTTCAAATTGTAGTTTCCTTATTATTTTTGAATGTATTTCTTCTGAAGTTAGCATTGTTACATTTTATATTTGACTATTGTGTTCAATAAAAAAGATACACTATTAGATTAACTTACTTGCAAAGCTCAGCTCAATTGATCTTGTTTGGTAATGATAATAAATAAAAATGAACGGTTTGCCAAAAAATGATTAACTTTTATAGCAATTTTAATTTATTTGTTAAAACAACTATAACTTTTAAGTAAACTATAATATTAGAACAAATACTTAAGCTAATATACTTTTTTGAACTTAATTATCTATTGAAATATATTACATAATTGGAGTTTTTTTTATTAGTTATCACCTATTCTTGTAAAAAAAAAGTAAATAGTATGTTATATATCATAACTCATATATAGGTATACTTAGAATATTTGATGTTTATTACAGACACCAGAAAAATAAATAATATTATAATATAATACTATAATATTATATTTAATGCAAATCCAAACACTTTGCTGTGAGCACTACAAAATATAACTATACAATTATAAACTGTATCTGATTCTTACAAGGTTTTTCATATTACTTACTAGTTACAGTTAACATTACATTGTGCTTAGTAACAATACGCATTATAATTTTTGATTATTATGGGGCATAATTTTTATTTAAATAATAATAATAGACAACTTAAATATTATTTTTCATACCTTATAAAATGTATTAAACTTTTAATATTGCCACTATAAAAACTATAGTAGAGAAAATGCATTTACTTTTATATTTTTACAACTACGACTTTAAAAACAAAAAAATTTTATACCCTGGAAAGAAAAATAATTTACTTACTTAATAGTTAAGCCCTGGTCATATGGACACATATTATGTAGGGCGTGTTAAGAGTATATTGTATAAGCATATGTTGTCTCCAACTCAGACACGTATGACATAGCACATTTTTGCTGACCAGTTTCAATAATGTGCTGTTAGTTTTGATATTAGATTGAATTGACCTATTTAAGTTCTAGGTAAGAACATTATCTGTGTTTACTCGATCTGTTATTTTCTCAATATTTTAATTTTTAAAAGAATAATGAGTATTTTCAAATACTAAAATTGTATATACTCAGAACACACTTAAAAATGTTATATTTAGTAAAAAACCGTTTAAGGAAACAGAGATAATGCTTTTACCTTAAATGTTGTAATAGGTCAATTCACTCTAATATCCAAACTAACAGAACACTATTGAAAATGGTAAACAAAAATTTGCTATGTCGTACATCTGTAAAACGGAGACAATACATGCAGATATGATGCCCTTTTAAGTGTTTTGATTTGTATTTTGCATTAAATATATTTGAACGTACTAATGAAATAGGCCCTTGCCACTGTGTAACATACACATATTATGTGTACTACACACACAAACTCCAGTAAAGTAAATCAAAACACTGCACTCAATACAGTTAGTTTATGTGAACTGGGCCTTTATGTATATTTTAAATCAATGATGTAGTGCAGGGATTCTTAAACTGTGGTACGCGTACCCCTTGGGGGTACTTGAAATGTTTTAAGGGGTACGAGTCTGGCCGACAAGCCAACAATGAAAAATTCTTTAAAATTCTTTAATTTTTTTTATATATATTTGAGCTTAGTAACTAAGAAGGGGGTACTCAACAAAATGTATTGATAAAAAAGGGTACAGGGTTTCTAAAAGTTTGAGAATCCCTGATGTAGTGACTGTAATTTCTATGAATGTTTCATTCTGTTCTCAGTAATCCAGGGTTATAAAATATTTGTACAATCAAATCAAATGATTCTTTTTACATAAAAAAAAAATACATATTTCAAAATATTTAATATATATATACAGCATGTACTATTTAAGTGTCTACAACCATTATTTCAGTTTCAACTTTTTTGAAAATATTACATTTACATTTAATGTCATTTAAAAATATGTTTTTTTAAACATTTTATCATTTTTATTCTATACGTTTTTTAGTTTCTTGGACATTTATCAACTCGTTCCCAAAGTAGACAATTTTTTTGGAGTATATTGATATCTAATTGAATTTCTAATGAGTTAACTATAATCTATTCAGAATAAGAAACTTAGTCAGTGGCTGACTTGTGCTCAGGGGCGTGGCAATAGTACACTGCATTTATATATATAATTGACTGGATGGGATTGACAAACAAGCGTTGCCTGCCCTCCACCAACTATGTTTCTTATTCTGAATAGAGTGTAGTTATAACTTACAGGTATTTATTTACCCATTTAACTCCATTCATTTAAACTTTAAAACACTTATAACTAATTAATAACTCGTTGCCATATGTATTGAAATACTAAAAAAAATATCTTCTGCTAATATAAAATAAAAAATATATACCATTTTAAAAAGTATAAAT